CTGGTTACCTCCAACTGCCCCCCCTGCCAGCCTAGTTTCCCCCACCTGCCCCCCTCTGGCGGCCTGGTTGCCTCTAACTGGCCCCCCCACCGGCCTGGTCGCTCCCAACTGCCCTCCCTGCCGGCCTGGTTGCCCCTCATGTTCCCCCGCCAGCCTGGTTGCCCCACGCAGCCTGCTGTTCAGTCGTTTGTTTGTCTCTCACTAACCCCGCTGACAACCTGGCTGCCCCATGTAGCCTGCTTGTTCAGTCGTTTGGTCATCCCTCACTAACCCCCCTGCCGGCCTGGTCATAGGCAGCCATCTTGTGAGGGTGTGATGGTCAACTTGCATATTATCTCTTTATTATATAGGATTCTTTCTTTTTAAAAATATATTTATTGATTTCAGAGAGGAAGAGAAGAGAGGGAGAGAAATAGAAACATCAACAATGAAAGAGAATCATTGATTGGCTGCCTCCTGCATGCCCCAGACTGGGGATCGAGCCCACAACCCAGGCATGTGCCCTGATCTCCTGGGAATTGATTGATCTCCTGGTTCATAGGCTGGCACTCAACCACTGAGCCACACCAGCCAGGCAAGAGGAAACATTTTATAATACAGTGTGGTTAATTCTGTCCACCACACTACTCCATGCACATGTGCCCCTGTGGGATTCTCCGCACGGGGCCCACAAATCCTGGAAGAGCACAGTCCCTGAGGTTAGCATTCAAAGTCTGTGCCAGAAGAGTGAGGACTCCATCCTAAGAAGGTTAGGAGTCACGGCCCTAAGAGGTTAACTGTGGTGCTTTTTAATAGTGGGTTTCGAAATGTTCTTTCAATTCCAAAAGATCTGGGAGAAGAAGAAGGATGAGTAAAGTGATAGACCTCAACCTCAAGTGACTCGTCTGCTCCTGGGTTAAGCCACCACGTCCCCCAGCTCCTAGTGGCACCAGGAGGGCAGAACAGGCAAGATCTCAAAGTCAGAATAACAAGGTTCTCAATGGCCCCTAGAGAACCACAAACACTGTTCCCAGCGGGGAGACACTGGGGGAAACAGGACTTCAGGTCCTCACCCCAAAACACCCTGGGACTTTCCCCTGCCTGATCTCAGTCCTCAGATCAAAGTGAACCAGAGAGCCCTGATCTGAGGGGTACACTGATTACCTGGAGAGCAAGATGCCAGAAATTTGGGAAAGTGCATGGAAGGAATAAGCATGGTCAGAGGTGAGCGAGGGAAAGGACTCTGCTTACCTTTGGAAGTTTGGGTTCAGAGAATCAATTTTGGAGCAACAGGTTGCAACCTCTGAAATGTCAGGAGTTGTCATGTGTCTCTCATTAGAAATGGATTGCACAGGACCTTGATCAATAGGCCAGATAGCAAAAGGCAAAGGAACTCTGGGCTGCTGTCTGTAATGAATGGTTGTTTTATTAAAAACAACTTTGGTCACACTCCCAGCAATACCAAGTCTTTTAAAGCGCAGCCCATTATGCTCAAAAAGTCACAGAGGGATTGAACTTCCACCCAACTACAAATCAGGTTCAAAGATCAGCCTCTTTCTTGGAGGCAAGCGTTTGTATCATAGCTGCAGATTCAAGAAGAACCGTCTGTGGCAGGACAGGTTGGGCAGCATGCCTGCCTGCGTGCGTGCGTGTGTCCTGTCCCTGTAGAGCCCGAGTTCGGGGAGGGGTAAGCCACAACAGGAAGCTCAGCATTCGATTAGAGCACGCCACCCACACGATTGCAACTTCAGAAGTGTTTTAACAAGCCTGCCGGTTGTACTTACTGGATATGCATTTACTTTGACATTCCTTGAAGTTAAGTGTGTTTTACAGGGCGTTACACATTATTCCTATGTAAACTTTTCTGAATGTGATGACTATAAACTATCTTTGCCTTCCATTTGATTGCCTAGCTGTAGGAAGTCCTGGTGAACAAAAAATACTATAATTGTCATATTCTTTAAAAAAAATTAATTAATTTTATATTAATTTCAGAAAGGGAGGGAGAGATAGAAACATCAATGATGAGAGAGATTCATTGCTTGGCTGCCTCCTGCACACCCCCTACTGGGGATTGAGCCTGTAACCTGGGCATGTGCCCTTGACCGGAATCAAACCTGGGACCTTTCAGTCTGCAGGCCAATGCTCTATCCACTGAGCCAAACCAGCTAGGGCCAGCTGTCATATTCTTAAAATACTCTGAGATGTAAGGTGAGAAATAGCAGTGAGCATTTGCAAAAGCCTAGCAAGAATGGCAGGGCAGGTAGGAGCAGTAAAAGGGTATTTTGCAAAATATAAAATAAATAACAGAAAACAAAATAAAAATAGAGTTTATTCCTGCTAAGTTGGAAAAGAGACAAGGCATTATGGAATTTTAGAGTGTTTGTAGAATGGTGGCTATGAGAGAACCCTAACTTTGTCTAAACTTGAGCATGGAAAACATTGAGTATTAGATGAAGAGCAAATGATAAAAGCATTAAAACCCAGATATTATGAGTTTTGATAGCGATTTGGGATCTTCTGATTGCTTGGAATTGAAGCAGAATGTAGCTCCTTTGCTGGGTTACCTTGTTGCTGATGTGGAGAGTGGGGTGGAGGGATCAACCCAGGAAGGTGCTCAGGGACTTGGCTGGCAGTTGAGTACAGGCACGGTTGGTCTTCCAGCCCCAATACAATAGAAGTTCAAGTTACCCTTGCAGGACACCGGGTAAACAACCAAATGCCTGCGATGGTTGTTGGGCCCTGGTTGCTTAATTCTCTCAGAAGGCCCAACAGGAAGACCTTTCCAGATTCTTTGCTGTAATTTGTGCTGCCTCTTGGCACTTAGGCAGAGCTCAAAAGACCTCAGAGGAGTTTCTGTGGTGACATTTCACCTATTTAGGCCCCATACATACCTCATCTCCGTGCATATTCGCCACGTACTTGAACTCTGGAATCCCGATTCTGTGTTCCTTTGGTGAGCGTCCCACGACAAGAACCCACAGGTTTCTGCCTTTATAAGGAAAAAAAAAGACCGAAAAATAAGTTGTCTTTTAAAATGACAAATGGACTCTGGGAGAATGATGAAGGGAAACAACTACTGCTTCTCCCCCTGATTAAAGCTTCATGATGCTCCAGTTCACGACTAGCACCGCTGTGCTTAAAGGGCCTCCAGTGTACTGCCAGCCCAGACCCTTCACTTCAGCACAAATATTTAACTTACTATTTTACAATGTGATATTTAAAAACTGAAGGCTAGCCCTAGCTGGTTTGGCTCAGTGGATAGAGTGTCGGCCTGCGGACTGAAAGGTCCCAGGTTCGATTCTGGTCAGGGCACAAGCCCAGTGGGGGGGGGGGGGTGCAGGAGGCAGCTGATCAATGATTCTCTCATCATTGATGTTTCTATCTCTCTCTCCCTCTCCTTTCCTCTCTAAAATCAATAAAAATATATTTAAAAAAAAAAACACAACCAACCAAAACCAAAAAAACTGAAGACTTGTTGGGTAACATAGATCTGTTTTTCCAAAATGCTTATTATATGCTTTGCTCTGAGTTTCTAGTGCTTTATAGAAAACTAGAGGCCAGGTGCACGGATTTGTGCACCAGTGGGGTCCCTTGGCCTAGCCTGCAGGGATTGGGCCGAAACCAGCTCTCAAACATACCCGAGGGGTCCTGGATTGTGAGAGGGTGGTTCTCGGGTGACACACCACAGAATTGGGCTCCCTCCTCTCTGGTTCCAGGTGTGTCACCCGAGAACCATAGTTACCAAGTTACTGCAGCTCAGCAGCTTCTGCGTTGAGCATCTGCCCCCTGGTGGTGCATGCATGTCATAGCAACTGGTTGGAACGTCTGCCCCTGGTGCACTAGAGGCCCGGTGCATGAAATTCATGCAAGGGGGCGGGGGTTGGAGGGATGTCCCTCAGCTCAGTCTGTGCCCTCCTGCAATCTGGGACCCATCAGGTAGGGTCCCTAGGCCTGGCTGGTGATCAGGGCCTATTGGGGCTTTTCTTCCCCTGGCTGCTGGCAGCTGGCCCCACCCCCGCCGCTGCCACTGCTTGCCATCTGTGTGGTGCTTCCCCCCCCCGCTTCCCCGCCACTGGTTGCCTCCCTCTGCAGGCGACAGGCATGGGGTGCGATTGCTTGGCTGGCCTGGGCCTCCCTCTGCAGGGTGATTGCTAGCCGGCCCCGCACACCCGCCACAGCATCGCTGGCTGGTGGCCTGGGCCTCCCTCTGTGGGGCGATCGATTGTGGGGCCCCCAGATCGATTGCCCCAAAGAGGGAGGCCCCGCCCACTCGGCCCAGGCTCCACAATCGATCGCTGTGCAGAGGGTGGCCTGGGCCTCCCTCTGCAGGGCGATCGTGGGGTGATGGCAGGGCTCCCCTGACCAATTGCATCGCACCCGCCTTGGCTGGCCTGGTGCCAGTGCATGTCATAGCGTGGTGGTCCAGAAGGTCGTCCTGCTGTTCGGTTGATTTGCATATTATACTTTTATCATATATATATATGTTGATGATCTTGCTAATTCACACAATTACACAAACTTCAATTGTAGTTGATGGTTGACTGGGAGGTGCCATAATTCTCAGGGCAAGGAAAGGGAAAAATAGATTAAAAAAAAATCAACAGCCAGTAAACATGTAACTCCGAAGGGAGCTTGTTCTTAAGGTGAGAAACTGACTCTTGTATTCAAATGCTGGTGGGACACAGCTCCTTTGCGGTGAGTGTCCGCGTATCTTTGACGTGCATCTTTGATGTGCAGGCGTCTTGTAAACTGGGAACCACACATACCCTAATAATACCCCCAGGAGAACCTCTAGGTCCTAACTGTGTCACAGAGGGTGTGATGTGGGCAGGAAGGACAGAGACTGCGGTCTCTGGGGATTCGCTCTGTGCAGACATCAGTCTATACCCCGGCCCACAGCATCTCAGGTCATCCCTTGTCATAACTCACTGAGGTGGGTCTTTAACTAAACTTTACAAATGAGAACACTGATCTTCAAAAAATATGAAGTAAACTGCTTATGATCGCACAGCCAGCCAGGAGGAGACTGTGATTCGAGCCCCAGAGCCAAGACCGGAATCCTGCCTATTTGATTACAATTCTGGGGCTCCTTCCACTAACGAAAATGCCCCTCTCGAGAGGCTTGGTTTTCTAGTCAGGAAAAGGAAGAGGTCCCTTTCAATTCTGTATCACCTGGCTCTTTCAATGCATACATTTTAGGATTAGAGATTGGGGATTGTGTGTTTGATGTCTACCACATATATACACGGTTCAAATATCTGTGATAGCTAAGCCTTCTGTGGAATTCAAGAGCCCAGGAAAGGAATTTAATAGCAGCTAATGGGCTAATGTAGAGCAGGTTGCCACAGAATTTCAGCTCTATTCCTTAAATCAGGGGCCCCACAGGCTGGGAACACACAGTTGCCATGAGGAATACAGGAAGAAGAAGATGCTGGACTTATCTTTTGCACGATTTATTCTTTTTGTTGTTGTTAATTCTCACCCAAAGATACTCTTCCACTGACTTTTAGAGAGAGTAGAAGGGAGGAGAGAGAGAGAGAGAGAAACATCGATGTGAGAGAGACACATCAATCAATTGGTTGCCTCCTGCACGTGCCCTGACCAGGGCCAGGGCTGGAGCCTACAATTGAGATACATGCCCTTGACCGGAATCGAACCTGGGACCCTTCAGTCCGCAGTCTGACACTCCATCCACTGAGCCAAATGGGCTAGGGCTTCACCATTTATCCTTACTATAACAATATTTTAGAGAAATTTGTCATGACAAGGTGATAGCTTTAAATTTGGTAACGGCAGGAATTCTCAGAAAACAACCCCAAAATGCAGTTTATCTGATTGATGCCACTTGTTCATTGCAGATTATTCATTCATGCATGCACTAATTGAGTACTGCTCTACCCAGGCATTTATCCAGGTGATTAGATTGTGCAGATAAGTAGGTCACACTCTATGCCCAGGGAGTTTCTGACCTGGTGGACAAGAGCAACGTGCAAACATATAACTACACTCGACTGTGATAGTTGATCACAGAACCGTGTGAAAGGTATTGTTGTGGATGTAGAATAAAAGAAATGATTAACTTTTTCCAAGGAAGGGGAGCATGTAAAACTTTACAGGTGTAGGGTTTTAGACCTGATGTCTGAACAGAGTTCTGAAGAATGATTCTGAGTTTGCCATATGGACAAGTACAATCCGCCAGAATCATTTCATTAACCAGCACCTTCTATTTGCCCATGATACCAACTTGCAGGTCATCTGGAGTTAATTGTACAAAGTTAACATTTGCATGTGAAGCAAGAAAGAACTTTTTCTGAGAAGTGAGCTATCAAACCTGGCTCTTCAGGTTTCCTCCTGGGGAATGCTTTTAGGTAGCAATTTGTGCTTTTAAAGCTAGGATAATCACAGGTTTGTACAAAATGTGGTCTAGTCCCCTCATAGGTAAGGGAAAATTTCAAAATAATCTCAACAAAATATTTACCAATTGTTATACTTATCACACTACATCTGTGACAGCTGGCCTGCTGCACAAAGGAGAGTGTAAAACACAGAACCCTGACCTGAAATGGATAGCCAATACGATTTGGTTTAAGGAAGGAGAGAAACCAAACCTATAAAACCTACGAAATACTTTAATGGGAAACTCACTTCAACTTTAGCACAGATGGCCCCTAAGTGAACTGCAAGATGTGACACTCACCTTGAATAAACCTCAAGGGCACAAAGTCTAAGAAAGAAACCAGGCAATAAGTCCGGAAGATACCAGTATTCCCACAAAGCTTTAGGAACGACAAGCCTCGTGAAGGGTTTTGACCACCCTCTCAATGAACACCGGATGTCTGGCTTAGACCAGAATTAATATGCAAAGGACAAACTATTTACTTTCCACAGCCTGACTGCCAAGGTCATTTAAACAAGATTTTTTTTTTTTCTCTCTATCAAGGTTGGAAAGGTGATTATTGCTAGTACCAGGTGTGCTTAAGAGTTCTGAAATGCTGGGACTCTTTCTCCTCGTTACAAAGTAAACAACACTGGATTCCAAATATTTCAGTATCTGTATTCAGGGACTCACGTGAGGCTTGACACAAACCCCAGGGCTCTAACAGGGGAGCCCGACGGGGCCTGCTTGGAGGACTGGGAAGTCTTAGCATTCAGAAGGCTTCATAAAGATCCACATGACACAAGAAAGCAGGCAAGAAATGCCACAAAGTTCTCTAGGTGTTGAGAAGAAAGTAGGAGAAGCTCGGAAAATTAAGTTTAGCTCCCACAGGTAGAAATGGGAGGAGTGTCACTCCCACATCAGAATCACCTGGGTCCTTAAACAAAAAAAAACAAAAAAAAAAAAAGAATCGCCTGGGTCCTTGTAAAAATGCCAGCCCCTGAGTCCCGTCTCCTACATCAAACTCGAGGCAGGAAGCCTGAAACCTGCATTTACTAGGCTTCCTTGGTGATTCTGAGGCCCATTAAAGTTTGAAAGCTGCTGAGATTGGGGTGGTAAATGACCTAATAGATCCGGGAGGCAGTTGATCTTTTGGTAAAATCATCTCATTTTACATATAATCGTGAAAATGTCTCTATGTTAACAAATATACTTCTATATCTTTTTAAATGGCTGCTTAATGTCTTATACATAAATGCACTACCATTTACTCAACCAATGCTCTATTGGTACGTGTCCAATAAGAAATGATTTTATATAAATGTCAGCAAGTCCACTGAGATTATGCACAGAATTTATAACATAAAAACATTTTATCATGAGAAAGAAATCAGAACGCAAAATTATATGACAACCACCTGAAACAGACTGTTTGTTTTAAAAATACCAGGGAAGGAAATAGCGCCATAGCATATTAAGCCTTAAATTAAATAATGGATGAGTCCCTTACAAGAATTTTTTTAAATGATGTATTTAAATAACTGTATAAATTATGCTACAAAAAAAAGAAAGAAGAAAGAATTGAAAATAGCACATTACTTATGTCAGGTT